TACACTGATCATTGCGGCTGCAACATCAATGGTGTGTAACGATGGGGCCTCACAAGTCTCCACCGCTTGATTTACTCCGTTGCCAGTGAAGTCGTCAATGAGCCTTATTTTGCGTCGCTGCTTCAGGCCGAAGCGTCTTGCAATAGGGGCGTCTGTAGGGACACAGTCTGTAGCAATGGGCCCCTTCAACCAATGGTTATTGACCTCTTCAAGCGTCTGGGCCCATACCGAAGCATCAATCTCAGCATCACCTGAAGACGTAACTGTGGACTCGATCCCAGGCCTCACCATCATGGCCCTCGTACCCAGCTCATTTGTAGATAGCAATGCAGGAATAGACTTATCAGGCATCATGTTGGTTCTTTCTACCGGGCCCACCAGCTCTGCACCTTCGACTAGCTCGTTCACCACATTCAAATCCGGATACTCGGCTTCGACCAACATCTCCTTGTACAGAAGAATGCGCTTTTTCTCGATCACTCGCACAACTTGTGGGTCCAGGCCTGCTTTCAACTTCTCCTCCTCATCGCTGAGCTCCTTGGCACGTTGTGACCACTTCTTCACAAAGTGTAGTCTCGATCTGGCGATGTCCAAGTCCGAAGAATTCATGTGTCTGTCCATTGCTTCAATCAAGATTCCAGGTACCACGTGTCTGTCTGCGAATGGGTGGCCTGCCAGAATCACTTGTTGAATGAATTCTTCCGGTTCCCAGAAGCTACCAAATATTTTCACGCAGGAGAACTTGTCAATACACCGGCACTCACTGAAATCCGGGTCTGCACCAAAAGAATGACATACCTGCAAGATCAATTGTAACGTGTCCACATCCGAATTGCTGTCACTCTTATTCCCCAGTTGTTCGGTATGCAGCAATTTGCAGTTGTCCACCGATGGCGCAATGCAGGGCCACAAGATGTTCTGGTCCTGGTCGTAGGCGACGACAATCTTGTGTTTGAACTCGGGCACTAAAGGTGACAGCTTATTGCCCGCTGGTTGAACACCTGAGAATGCTTGAGTGAGAGCAGTTGAAGTCAGAGCGTCCATGGAGATAACATTGGTACGTTGCAAGGCCATCAAGAATGCGTTGGAGATCGCATCACATAGCCCTCGTGGGTAGTGGACTTCCAGTGAAGTTGCGTGAACTCGTTTGTTGCCCACACGTTGCACACCCCAAGCTGCATGTTCGTGGTCTCCAGGACACTGGAACACCTCCTTGAAGTTTGCACACAGTCTGGTTAGCTTGGGGCGGTCGCTTCCATAGGCACATGCTCTGTGATCTTGGACGAAGAGCTCGTCGTGGCAAGTCATGTCCATCCACGGCGTTGTCAACCAAAAGAAACTGTTTGCTGGGTTCTCCACCATCGCCAAAATAGCGACCATGCAACTGGTTTCCACACAAGCTGCTGTGAACGCATACAATACGTTGGCAGCTCCGACACGTAGTCTATCTAATTCAGAGAGTCCATCCAAACCATCTGGTTGAAGAAAAGATCTCAAAGGTTGGGGTGGTTTTTCCACTCCTGGCAGAGGAATCGCGCGGGCTTGACTCGCCGTCCCACAAGGTGGCTCCAACACAACAAGGTGAACTTTGCGCTGTTGTATCCAGGACAGAACAAGCTGCTGGTTCCCAATCAACGTGCAATCCATCTGAATAACACTAGCCAGCGGGTGTTTGTGCAAGACTTTATCGATTGCCAAACAGCTCACCACGCCTCTTCGTTTGAATGAGGCCGAAACTCCTGCTGTACCGCAAAACACCTCGAGAACGACAATCTGAGAAACACGCAAATGGCCATCCCGAGGTGTTTCTGACTGTCACTCAGTTGTAACGGCTGACTTGTCCGGTCCGTGGGCATCTCTCCAGGCATGAGGCTGGAAACAATTTGCCAGAAAGCAATTGTGTCTTCCGTTTTTGCAAACGCCGCCAGCCGCAGCATGCTTGCATCCTTTGATGTTGAAGTCGAAGCAAAGTGACCTTCCTTTGTTGTCTTTGCCCACGCATCCAGGAAAACCTCTGGGTGCCACCGTAAGTCCAGGTCCGTTTTTCTGTTTGCCCTTGCCTTTTCCTTTCTGCGGCCTTGCTGGATATGGCGCAGATGGAGAGGTCTTCGTATCTGATGGCTCCCGTCGTTGCTGTGCAGAGGCGCTCTGAGGCAAGGGCATGAGATGAAACGCAACATGATAATCTCGAAGCGCTTCCATAAGCATGTTGTCCAGAGGCTTCACACCTGCTGCATCTGGCCTGATGTTGTCACAGTGTTTGCTCAGGTAAGAGAACACCTCTTTGTCTGCTCGAAGGACCTGAGTAATGCTCGTCGAATGAAAGTTCGGCGGAGGGTCCTGTTGCAAATGCCTCATCAAGGAGTCCGTGTATCGTTCATGGCTACGATACGAAATCAGTCCTGAGAACTCATAGGCTACCGCTCTGCGTCGAAAGCACAACATCAATTGGTAAGCATTGTTCACTGACTCGTCTGGGATGTTCTTTGACTCTTTCACTGTCAAACTCGAACCATCTAAGTGCAACTTCTTGTTCAGCTTCCCAGATGTCACCTCTGCCTCTCTAGATGCACACTTTGCTGGCTCAACGTATCGAAGGCACCTCGTTTCGTATTGAAAGCAGCATTCATCGACCAGCGAATACGCCGGTTCATTGTGGCCCTCCAGGATCACACCACCCAGCTGCTGTCTGATCTGTACCATACGCACCTGACGCTCTGCATAAAGGGTTGGTTTTGGCACAGATTGTTCGCTCGTAGGATGTTCCACCGTAGCACGCACTATTGCAGTCACAACAACTTCTGCTTCAAAGTGTAGACGTCTCAATGCTGCAGCGGTGCCAAGCGAGGGGTCCTGTCCAATCACTTGTCTAATCCACGTTGAGAAAGCGGTCTCATCAAAGTCCTGGCCCGGTCTGCCCATGCCGAAAGCCATGTGTGCCAAGGTTCTGATCCCTGCATCTTTGAAGTTCCGCAAAATGTTCCTTGGCACTCCATAGCTCACTGCTCGCTCCTCGAAGTGTGCTTCACTGTCAGCAGTATTCGCCATCACACCCGAGGTCGCAAATGTTTAAGTAAAGTTTTTCAAAAATGTGTCATCAAAGTTGAGTGCACCGTGCAAAGCTCAAGCAAACTTGAATACACAGAGGGAAAACAAGACTTGTCGTGTGAAAGAAGAAACACTCAAGTGAAATGTGAATGACACATCAACAAAAATTTGAAGAGCCAAATCTGCAAGTTTGGCAAACATGAGCGTCGACATGTACCCAAACATGTTCAGAGAAGTGACAACCACTCCCTTGGCAAGTTGGGGGGCATCCCAAACAAAAACACTATTTTGTCTCACCAGAGACGTCTGAGGAACATACCTCAGTTTGTCATCCAAAGCTCACGCTTTGTTTTTCCCCATTCGCATCAACGAATGTCAATGTTCCGCTACACACGGAAGCACTTGCTGCATTTATAACCTCCAGGTTCATAGCACGGCACGTAAGAGCTGCATAGCTTACGTCCACACCTGAAGACATCTCGTTCGCGGATGCAGTGAATGACCAAGGATTTGATGTTCACGAAGTCACACTCAAACTTCGGCGCAAACTGTTTGACGAGGTCATTTCCCGCCTGAACCTCTTCACCATCCGTGGAGGATGAATCTTCACTCGTCAGCTCATGCTCCAGCTCTGTCCAATCTTTCACAAGGCTACCGCTCATCTCTGCAATGGCCTCTTCAGACAGGATTTTGGGTACTGGCATTTCCACTTGGGTCCAGCTCGCATCGTCGACATCGACTTCCACTTGCTCAGTCGAAGGCCCATCACTCCTCGTCTCTGCAGTGACATCACTCTGCTTGTTCAAGGACTGCTGGCTCGTCTGCTGTGTTGACATCAAAGGAATCCCAGGTGTGACCGGTGCAGGCGCCGTCTGAGGAATCGGCGTCAGCATGCCTGATCGGCTTCTGTCCGGAGCAAACATCTTCGATCTGATTTGGGAAAGCACAAGCTCGAATTCCCTCAGGACTGGGGAAATGAGGTCTCGGCTATAGAGGGAGACCGGGTTGGAGACACCCTCCTGCTCGGTGTACGCTGAAATTCAAGGATGTGTCGAAGGAATCTGGAACCTTCTTCTGGTGACAAAGCACGGTTTGTCCAAGCAATGCACTCGTCGTCGCCCAATGGCGCTGGCAGTACTGGTCCTCCTGAGTCATTGACTGGCCCGAGCCCACAGGTATCACGAAGTCCCATGTATGTCACCGCCCAAGAACTTCCATCGATGCCCTTGGCTGGTGCCACAATTGGCAGCAGTCGACTTTTCAAGTCGGTGTGCACCTTTGTCCTGATCTCGACATAGGCTTGCTCCTCGTCCAAGTAGCACTCCGTGACATTGGCAAGGTCGCTCCACCTAGAACGAGAGTAGAGCAGCAGCAACAAATGACCAACAAAAAGCCTGTCCACTGCGTTGTTGGTCTCATCCATCAGATAACTATGAAGTTTCAACACCTCATCCACAGTCAACACTGATGCTGGTTGCCAAGGCCTCTTCGTCACCCACAATTGCGCCGAAAGACCTTTCACTCGCAAGCTTGCAACCACATTGTCAGCACCTGTGATCCCCAACACGAAGTGGCAGAATCTAGCCGCCTCTAGGAAGCTGTTCCCTTTCGTAGCCGCTGCTCCATCCTTTGCCAACGAACGCACATAGGACCAAGCATCAATCTCCAGCATCGGTAGCCAAGGCCTCGAATGTCTGTCGTGCATCCAGAAGACGAATGCTCGGATTGCGTAATACCTCTTCAACAGTGTCCCTGGACTCTTCAACAAGAAGGTGGCATTGACAACACTCTTCAGGTAAGTCTCTCTCTTGCTGGGTAGAGATTCATTGAGGGCTTGACGACCAGGAAGGCTGTGCTCATAGTCATCTTTCAAGATTCCAACCCACTTGTCAACTGCTGCATCTCTGCGCGACTCTCTGTCAACATTAACTGCTCTGGATTGCTGGTCTCTCACAAACATGGTGAATAGGCAGGAGGATGGTGCTTCATACCTTTCGCTCATTGCTACGCTTGTACGTTGATCATCACTTCTCACAAAGTCAAGCTTGATGGGATTTCGATCAGCCAGTTGTACGCCTGTCACAGATGTGCCAATGGTTGCATCTTTTCCCAACACCTTAGCCAGTCTTCCTTTCTCCCAAGGAAACTTCATGAAAGATTTGTCCACTTGCCGCACAAGCTCATGTCGTAAAGGCGCGGTCATCTGAGGAGGAATCCTATCAGTCGCGCAATCTGACGCCACAATTAAAGTCACCCATAACCATCAACACATTCCGTCGACTAAGTTGAGCGAGATAGGCATCGAGTTGATTCCAAAGATCTTGTCTGTGTCGAAGTCGATCATGGGACGAATTCATCGTGTGTTGATATACACATATGAAATCAATAGGTCGATGCCTAGTTCTAATCTGAACATCCGCCTGGAATGATCGGATGCCAACGGATGGCATCAGGGTTGCAAAAATTCCGACAAATGAGAAAAGGCAGACCTGCTCCACGATCTTGTTCAGCTCCTGAATGAATGTGGTGCCAGTGCGCAGATTGCCAGCTATTTTCAAAACGCCATCGAGTTTCAGAGAGCAAGGCAACCTGAATCCCATCCGCACGAAGCCAAGTAGTGACCTCTTCCAAACAATGTTGGGATAGCCCACCTCCATTCCACATCATGTATCGAAGTCGATGTGTCGGTATGTGTTTTTGATGAATGTTGTAGTTTCGCAATGGGTTTGACTGTGTCGGTTTGTAATGTAGATATGGATGAGCTCGTTGAAGTGTCGCAAATGTATATTGTTGTCCTCTGTACCAAGTGTGTCCATGTACATAGGCTCGTCGAAGTGCTCTCAGTAGACTGCGCTTTCGAACCTGATCTGACCGTTGCCAGTGTCCGCAGCCAAATGATGGCGTCTCCCCATGTTGATTCACAGCACTCGGAAAGGAATCGAATGTTGTCAAAATTGCCACTGTTTCAGGGATCTGCATGGTCAGATCCCAACCCTCACCCTCACGAGAGGCAAGAATGATCAAAGAAAGAGTTGCCCACACAAGGCAAAATGCGGCAGTGATTTTAAACATCCTCTCGTCCTGGAATTGGGACCAGGTGCACCAAGGCTGTTATAGAGCACAACTCAAGGCAGGTCGCTCCAATCACTAGAGTGCAGAATCGCCAAGGGCGGTTTGGCCAGCAGAGCGGAATCTGTCAATCTCGTAGTGTAGCTGTTCCCCAAAATTGAAAAGAGCCAAAAAGGGTGCCAGAATTAGAGTATTGGAGCCAGGCAGTGTAAATGGGAGCTCACCCCGCCGATAGGAATCAGCACTGGTCCAGGTTGTGCGTGGATGGAGAGAGCCCACCTCACTTCCACAATTGTAGAATAAAAACCACAATAGCAGTAGTGCAAATGGCAACGCCCCCAACAAACACAATTGCGAGAGGAATGGCTGCGCAGCAGATCCACCTCACCTGCACTTGAGGCACCAGGATAGGTGCAAAGGGCTTGTGTGTGTGTGCGTGTGATACCTTCTAACACAGGTTTTGCAACAGGACGACAATTACAATGTGACAGCAGGGGGCACAGGCCCATTGTGGATACCTGTGCCAACGAAGCTATTCCACAGGGGAAGCGGAGTCTGATCACCTGCGTGTACCTGCTGTAGCTGCTGCTAAAGGAGTTCAGCTGTTGCCAAAGCTGTTCTACTACTGTGTTTCCCAGCAGCCGAGTTTGCCTTTCATTCACATCACCTTCGACGTTGCTTGCATGACATGGGACCATACATTGACTTGATCTTGACCATTGACTTGGATTCCACTTTGTGTACTTTTCGTTCATGCACTTTTTGTCTCAAAGCCCGACTCGAGCCAGTGTCTACATATCTCCACACACTACCACGACCTCACACACGTCTACGACTACATCATGTTGGTTACCCTTTTCAGGTTTGGTCTACAACTTCAACAAAGCATAGGCATAGCACACGTAAGGCAAAAAGCAAAGGCATAGCAAACTTCAAGCAGTTGCAAAGGCACAGAAACTCACTTTCTCATTGGCGCTGTGAACTGCGGAAGGCTTGGAAGGCTCGCCCAGCATATGGGCCAAAGTACTGCTGCCACTGCTCCTGCTGTACAATTCCCGTCATATGGGGCAAGTCTGATTGATCTATCTGCTTGCCATCTGTACATATGATAAGTAGGAAATCATTTTCATCACAACTATTCGCTCTTTCATCTTGAATGTTTTGTAGATCTACCTTTGCAGTCCCTTGTTTGCATTGCCCACACTCGGTTAGGAAGCCTTGCTGCCCATCCAATTGCAAGAGCACGGCAAAATCAGCTGCAGGTGCACCTCCTGCATTCAGAAAAACGTAAGAGCATTGGTCGTTTGTGTCCTGCAGGTCAACCATTTTACCATCAGCAAGTGTTGCTTGCACCCTTCGTTTTTGTGCTGGTTGTTCCCTGCGTGGTTTCCCAAAGAGGAAGTCCCGGCAATTCGTCGCCATCCTCTGTTTTGCTTGGGCGTTTTTCAAATGCCTGTTGACAACCTTCACATTGCGCAAGGCCTTTGGCTGAAGAATGGCTCCATGATGCAAATCGCTCAGTCTCACAGTCGCGTCAGGAGGCCAGCACAACGATTTCAACACCCGAAAGCGTGCGCAAAAGTCCTCAAACGCAAGGCCACCTGCATCTGGACCCCTACATATTTCATTGTAGCCATCAAGACTCCACTTTGCAAGATCTGGCAATGCATCCTTTCTTGTCACTCCAAGAAGGATCCAAATGTAGGGTAAGCGTATTCGTCGTTGCGATCTATCTGAGTTGTATTCAAGCCTCACTAACTGCAGCTTTTCTGGATCAAAGTTACCAATTTTAGCTTCCGGCTTCAACCACTGACCAGACAAAGCGGCTTTGAGGATGGGTTCAAAATCTGCTGGGACAGCCTTTGGATATCTGTCCATTAAATTTCTAATCACTGCGTCCTTGAGCAAGTCAATGTTCTCAAGAGTTTGGTCGTTACAGGCATCTTCCAAAGCCTCCAGTGCTCGCCCGTGCCCTCCCATATCACTTTGCAGAAGCTGCAGAACCTCATTGCCAGTGAAGTTAAATACTGCTTTCCCATTTCGGCAAACCTTGTCCACCAACGGGAGCATGACATAGTGTCGCTTTTGTGGACTGTCCGCAAGGGCAAATTCGACACCGAGTTGCACTGTGGCGGCCATCGCGGCAATCGTCAACGGACCATCATCACGAGTTGTCAACTGACACAGCTTGCGAATGGTCTTATAAAACAAAGAAGTCTTGTCAGTGGGGCTATCAAAGCCAGGCAGAAATTGCATCCCATCAAGCGCCACCAAAATGCTATAATTCGCAGCGCTCAGCTGCTCGCCCTCACACATGGCATCCAAAATGTCATCTACGATGAGATTGGCAGTCTCCGCCACCGCTCGGTGCAGCTGACTGAATGTGAAGTTTGGTTTCAGGCCGGCCCATCCAGATGCCCGTCGGTTCCGAAGTAGCTGCCACAGCATGCGGGCAACTACGATTTTGTCAGGGTCAGTGTCGAACTGTCCATCAAAGCTCATGCCATTCTCCAAGGTGAGCAGGAACGGAAACAGTTGTCGATCAGCTGGATCAACTTGCTCTGTTTTGTTGATCAGCATAGGCAGTTCCTGCAGAAAGCGTGATTTTCCTTGGCCAGGAGAACTCAAAACCAAAAGAATTGGGCGCTCTTGTTTGTCGGAAGGGTTCTCCACTGTCTGTTTAATTATCGGCGTCAGCTCCTCCACCAACTCTTGAGCACCACAATAGTCCCAGTCAGCACCTGGAGTTTGCAGTAAGGCTATGGGATCCTCAAACTTCAGACCCGCAAGCAGTTCGCTCTTGAGCGGCAAAACCTCACATGAACTTCAAGGGTTCCGAGAAGAACGGTGGAGACCCAGCATATCCCAGGAAATATGGTGGGCAGTAGCAAATCATCTTGAGACACTGCAAATCTCAACATTAGCTAAATTGTTTGATATTCTTTGCAAAATAGGGGTGGTCATTTGTTTCTGGTCTGCTTTCAGAAGTCACATTTGCATATGCATCTGTTTGGTTGTTTCAATCATATTTACCATGTTGTCGGATATTCTTGATTGCCTTGCTGGTAATTTCATATATCCACTGGAGGGGCACTACAGAGTATGGAACGGAGGACCAAAGAGACAGAACTGTTTGAACCTTTTTGAATGCCATTCGAATGTGAAGCATCTTTCATTTATTTTTGCATCTTTTGGAAGAACTGTGACCAGACTGAAGCTGTGCAGCAGATGGCCTTCTCTTGGACTTTTTGGACTTCCTCCTTCGCCTTCTGCACCTCCTCCTTCGCCTCTTTCACTTCCTCCTTCGCCTTTTCCACCTTCTCCTCCGCCTTCTGCACCTTCTCCTCCGCCTCCCTGATTTTCCGCTCATCTCCTGTTTGCCTGGCAGTTTGCAAGTCTTCCACTGCCATGTCCACTTGCACTTGTGCAGCTGCTTGCTGGTCCAAAGCAAGTTCCAGCTGACGTCGTGCCAAGGTCAAGGCATCAGCCTGTCACGACGGACAGACAGCGCGAATGAGAACGAAAAGACAGGATTGTTCTGGGGGACTAAATGTTCTTCTCCTCTCCAGTCTGAGCCTGGAAGACAAAAAAGACTTACCTCTGATGAGTCCTGTCTTTCTGAAAGCCAATTATTCCGTCTTTCTTTTCAGGTTCTTTCTTTTCAGTTTCTTTCTGTTTCCTTCACTTTCTGTTTGAAGAAACAAAACTGCTGGACGTTGGATGACCTGTCCAGAGCAAACATGTCACATGCAACATGACATGTCGATCTGCAACATGCAGGAGCCTTTAAATCGAAGCGAAGTAAAATCGAAGCAACAAATAAACGTAAAGTTGCCGTTGAAAAGAGGGAATTCAATGGCTGATAATGGCCGTATGGTGCCTCATCTCTCGCAGGCGATCGTTCCTGCAAGGGTTGCAGAAGCTGACAGTTCAGAAAAGAAAATAGCGCTCTGATTCTATGAGTTGCACTCTCTTCCAACAAAAGATCAAAGAATGAAAAGCAAATTCTTCGTCTCAGACTGAAGAAAGGTCAAAAACCAAGCAGTACAGATTGCAGGCAAAAGCTGAGTGCACTTGAAATCCAGGAATATATTTGTGGACTTCCTGGTCATTGCTGCATGTTTGTGGAATGTTCACATGAACAAAGGAGCCATCTGCAAGTCACCACGCTCTAATGCTTTGGAGACAACGCAAATTCCAAGGGCCCATCTCCTCGACTGGTTGAATTTTTTTTGGACCTTCCTGCAAGTTTGCCAAAACCAAATGCACTAGTAAGTGAATGCCCAACTGAGCATAGGATTGCATAGAGCACATTCTGCACTCCAGAGACGCTTCAAAATTTGCAATTCATCGTTGCATATTTCTGTAGCAAAAAATGCACAACATGCAAAATGTCTGTCACTTTGGTGCGACGGTTTTTCAACTCGTTTGGTCCTTGTTTGGTGCTGCAAGCAAAGGTCCCACACCATGTCGCTGACAGAAAGGTTTCTGTTGACAGAAAGTTGTGCAGGGGCACACCTTGGAGGCAATTTTGCAACACCTTCTCCAATGGGTTGAAAGTCCACTTGCGACAAATACTTGGAATATCTTGGAATTTCGGTCAACTAAGCGCGAGGCAACAAAGGAGACAAGCCACGCTGCAACCAAGATCCAGCCTGTCAAGGTCGCTTCCATGTCAGCATATTTCTAACAAAAGTATTCAGGGTATCAATATTAAACAACGTCTAAAAGTATTGTCAAACATTTTCACTCGCCTTGTTTCCGTTGTTTCGCCCTCATAGCAACATGACATGGTATCTAGCGTAAGGAGGAGTGATGACAAAAACTGCATAGTGTACGGAAAAGTGAACAAGCTGCACAAACCAAAACATAATCAACACAAATTTCAAGACTTTGATTGATGTTCTTTTTGTTTCTTTGATTTTGGAATGAAATTGAACAAGAAGAGCATAAATAGCATTTTTCACAGTGTTGGGGAGAGCCAAAATAGCTATGCCGCGCATGCAAAGCGTGGGCATCGTGCAGGAGCGAGTGATGAATGTGCTACGCCACTTTTTTTTTGAACCGGGAAGGCAAACTCAGCCAAAAGGCAACTTTTCGCTCGAGATTTGCCAGGAGCGTTTCTGAGATTTCAAATCATGAGGAACTTTCAAAGGCAAACTTTCAAACAACTTTTGATGAAATTGTAACAATAGTCCATGAGGAAATTGTAACAATCATGGTTCAATGGTTTTGTTGCTCTTAGACATTACTCTTGAAGTTGCTAGCAGCCCTTTCAAAAGCCACTACCTTGTAAGCCATTGTTGTTCTAACTTTCTAATCCTTAAGTTCGGCTCTTCAGTGACACTTGTTCTTCTTCGGTATCTTTCGGTTTCTGTTTGAAGAAACAAAACTGGGCGCTAGATGACAAATCTGGAGCAAACACGTCACATGTGACATGTCGCAGGCCTTCAACCGAAACCAGACCCATCTAGGAGCAAAATATAAAAATTGGTGACCGTTCCCAAGAGGAAAATGGCGCAACTATTGACGATGGAAGATCTTTGATGTATTTCAGGCTATCTGCTGAAATATGCGCCGTGGCCAAATATCCAGATCGACTACAAAGCCCTCTCGAAAAATACCCAACCAACTGTTTGAAATTTTCATGAAACAAAATGGTCATTTAGTTTGCAATGGAAAACATCCAAAAACAAACGGCTTTTTTTTGTCTTACCCCCAGAAGCCAACACGCAACGACCGTTGCTCACATGCCGGCGCTCCTTTCTGAACAAAGCACTAGAAATCAAACCCTGTATCTCTCTGCATATTTTTGCTTGCGTATCTAATCAGATCTTTCGAATGGTTCAGAGCCACCTTTCTGTGATGACTTTGGAGGTGGACCACTAATAATGTTCAACACCCTTATTCGTAAGAGGGAGTAACCCGCAAAAAGGATTATTGGCTACTAAAAAGGGACCCCCTACACAAACCAGTGGTTTATCAATAGAAGGGTGATATTATTAAGGATAATTTTTTGACAATTAATAGGCCCGCCATTTTTGGACGGTTCGTCATTACAAGTACAAACCTTTGGCGACGTTCAAGGTCGTTCGGATTGTGCAACTTCCTTTTTTTGGTCGAGTTTCTCTTTATTGGTGGGTCTCGGCGAACAGCTGCTGGGCGGGCAGAAGCCAAGATGGCATTGCAGCTACGCACACCTGAAAGCGATTCATATGGCTTGCAAATCCCGCCCTGTCCAACCATGTATAGACACTCGCAAACATGTGGAGATGTACTTCCGGTCAAATGATATGGATTTGCTTCTCCATCTTTTCCCTCTGTTCAGGGATGACTATATGGAGGTGGTTGATGTCCTTAGTATTGTCGGCTTTCATGTTTGTTTCATGGCTATGTTTCAAATTTATCAGCCACGGAAAATGGATGCTTTATTGAAACGTGGGACCAATTCAGTGGGTCATGTGGTGCCCCCTATTGTTCTTCTCATGCTTTTTCAATGGTTATTATTATCCGTATCATTGTGGGTCGTTTCATGGTTCTTCCATGAACGGTTCCACCGTCAAGGGCCGTCAAGCGCCCGCATTTTAGATGTGCTCCCAATGGCATAGTTGATCACTTCCCCAGCCTCGATATGGGGAGGTATGGTTCCCATGACCAGTGCGGGTGATATGGTTCAACTGATCACAGTACCCGTATAAACCCTGGGTCAATGATTAAAACCAGAACCCAAATGGGCTATGACCGAGGCTTAAAAAAACAAAAATAACTATAGGTCCTGGGGGTATAAACAACAGTGGCAAAGGTAAAACCGTTCCTCACAAAATCATGAACAAGCAAAGCTTCTGCAAGACATCAACAGCAAAACATGTTTTGCAGGAAACCTTTTGTCGAATCGCCGCCTTCGAAGAAAAACCAAGAACGTGAGTCCCGCAAGACATCAACAGCAAAATCTGTTTTGTAGGAGGCATTTTGTCAGATCGCCACCTTCGAAAAAATTACACCTGCACAGACCCCAAACAGCAAAAAAACAATTTACAGCGTCCAGCAGCCTTTGATTTCTTGTCCCACCGCTAGCAACACAGTTGCCAAAGCGACGGTATTTGCCAAGGGAAGCACGGCATGCCAAAACGTAACCAGAGAAAAACCATAGGTTCAAGATTAGCCAAGGACCAACATCTCTCTTCCCACCCTCACCAAAAGGTACTATTTCAATATCGATCAGGGACTTCTGTCCATGACTTTCGTGGATACCACTAGCCGATCACCACTCATCTGCTGTTGTTTTGATTGTGTTTGCAAAAGTGTGGAAACCAATGCTTCATTTTCCAGAGTCCCCCTTCGATTGCTTGATCCACTCCATGTACAGGCATATTCAATACCCGATTCCGTCCTCGTGTGCTCAGAGTCGATTCTCGGTTCCGACCATTTTGGTCACGGCGTTGTTTCACTGCGTGTACCTTGAAGGATTGCAATAGCATCCGGACCAATTGACACTGGTGTCATCAACAAGCCATTTTGGCACCAGTTTCACAACGTTGTCTCACGCAGCGTTTCATGCCACTTTGGCACCAATGGATTTCCAATCCATCCGTTTGATGTTAGGGCTATGCCATTTTTTGTAGCCCTTAGTTTTGTTTTTGCAGCCAGCATATTGGACCTTCGGCATCCGCCTACTCGCAGAGCCCTTTTGGCACCACCTCCATTCCCTTCCACTCCATAGATTTTGGGTTAGGGCTATGACATGTTTTGTGCCCGGAATTTGTTTTGTTTTGGGGCCTGTGGATGGGATTTTGGAATGGACTCTCTAACTTTCACTGCGTTTTCCCACGCGTCAGTCTCACTGCGTATCAGTTCACTGCAGACCCACATCCATTCTTGCCCCATCCATGACCCTTGACTCTAGGGCTATAACAATTTTTGTTGCCCACAATTTTGCTTTGCTTTCACATGGATGAGAACTTAGAATGGATTTCTGACGTTTTCTCCTCTGGAGATCTGGTGTTGCGACCTTGTACCTCATTGCACTGCGTTTCATACTGAGTCCTGGACTCCCAAACGTTGTCAATTTCAACATTCTCGTTTTTGTTTGGAACGCATGCAATGCTAGCTGAAGATCAGCTTTGTTTATCTGCCATGGGTTGAATTTAACCATGGCCAGATGGAAATTACTATGGCTGAAACCAACAGCCAGAAATCCAGCAACTGAAAAGAGGAAATTAAACTATAAAGGTGCGGCGGCGCAGACAAATCCGATAGGATTTGAAAATGGAAACTATGAATATCTGTTCTAATTTTTGTTTATATTTGCCTGAGTTTATTTATATACATATACCTAGTTGTGTCTGGTAAATGGCCAATTAATATAAGTCCACCTTGAACAAGAGTGGGAACAAAGTGGGAACAAAGTGGGAACAAAGTGGGAACAAAGTGGGAACAAGAACCCCAAAGTGGGGCACAAATGGGAACAAAGTGGGAACAAGAACCCCAAAGTGGGACAAGATTGGGAACAAAGTGGGAACAAGAACCCCAAAGTGGGACAAAAAGGGGACAAAGTGGGAACAAGAACCCCAAAGTGGGGCAAGAGCGGGGAACAAAGTGGGAACAAAGTGGGAACAAGAACCCCAAAGTGGGATAAGAGTGGGAACAAAATGGGAACAAAGTGGGAACAAGAACCCCAAAGTGGGACACGAGTGGCAACAAAGTGGGAACAAAGTGGGAACAAGAACGCCAAAGTGGGAACAAGAAGACCAAAGTGGACAAGAGTGGGAACAAGAACCCCAAAGCGGGACAAGAGTGGGAACACAGTGGGAACAAAGTGGGAACAAGAACCCCAAAGTGGGACAAGAGTGGGAACAAAGCGGGAACAAAGTGGGCACAAGAACCCCAAAGTGGGACAAGAGTGGGAACAAAGTGGAACCAAAGTGGGCACAAGAACCCCAAAGTGGGACAAGATGGGGAACAAAGTGGGAACAAGAACCCCAAAGTGGGACAAGAGTGGGAACAAAGTGGGAACAAGAACCCCAAAGTGGGACAAGAGTGGGAACAAAGTGGGGAACAAAGTGGGAACAAAGTGGGAACAAGAACCCCAAAGTGGGATAAGAGTGGGAACAAAATGGGAACAAAGTGGGAACAAAATGGGAACAAAGTGGGAACAAGAACCCCAAAGTGGGACAAGAGTGGGAACAAAGTGGGAACAAAGTGGGAACAAAGTGGGAACAAGAACCCCAAAGTGGGACAAGAGTGGGAAACAAGTGGGAACAAAGTGGGAACAAGAACCCCAAAGTGGGACAAGAGTGGGGAACAAAGTGGGAACAAAGTGGGAACAAGAACCCCAAAGTGGGACGAGAACCCCAAAGTGGGACAAGAGTGGGAACAAGAACCCCAAAGTGGGACAAGAGTGGGAACAAAGTGGGAACAAAATGGGAACAAGCAAAGTGGGAACAAAGTGGGAACAAAGCGGGAACAAGCAAAGTGGGACAAGAGTGGGAACAAAGTGGGCACAAGAACCCCAAAGTGGGACAAGATGGGGAACAAAGTGGGAACAAGAACCCCAAAGTGGGACAAGAGTGGGAACAAAGTGGGAACAAGAACCCCAAAGTGGGACAAGAGTGGGAACAAAGTGGGACACGAGTGGGGACGAAAGTGGGAACAAAGTGGGAACAAGAACCCCAAAGTGGGACAAGAGTGGGAACAAAGTGGGAACAAAGTGGGAACAAAGTGGGAACCCCAAAGTGGGACAAGAGTGGGAACAAAGTGGGAACAAAGTGGGAACAAAGTGGGAACAAAGCGGGAACAAAATGGGAACAAAGTGGGACAACAGCGGGATCAAAGTGGGAACAGAGTGGGAACAAGAACCCCAAAGTGGG